TGGGGACGTACTTGTCGTACGGCCAAACATTTGGTAGACCTTTACCAGGCTTCTGTAAAAGGAAAAGAGAAAAATGCAGAAGCAAATTATGTTAATGAAGAAAATGCTCCATGTCCTACCCTTGATGTGTCCGATTTCTTCATGGACAATGCTGAAACTGGGAATGATTTCATTCTTGGAGAAAACAACAATGCTTAGGTTCCCCATCTACTAATGTAACATATGCTATGTTTTAATGTATTTTCTTAGTTCCCTGTATTTTAAATTTCTAGTCATGTACTTTAAATCTTTATCATCAATAAAAGTTTGTATGATACTATTCTAAACTAATCTTAAATTTATTTTATGAAGATATGGATCTACCTGAAGTTAGTTCCGAATATCAATGCCTTTTGGACAGTGGAACAACACATACTATCTTAAAAGATAGAAAATATTTTTCACAACTAAAGTTGTTTCAAGCAAATGTAAACACCATTTCCGGGTCAGCTAAATTAATTGAAGGATCTGGAAAGGCTTGTATAATGCTTCCAAATGGAACAAAATTAATAATCAATAATGCTTTATATTCGAGTAAATCTCGAAGAAATCTCATAAGCTTTAAAGATGTACGCCAAAATGGCTATCATCTAGAAACAATGACGACAGATCAAAAAGAGTATATATGCCTCACGGCAGAACACATGGCAAGAAACATATATATGAGAAATTGCCAGCATACTCTTCGGGGTTATACCGTATAAACATACGACCCGTGGAAATCAATATGATATCTAACCAAAAGTTAGATGACAAACGTTTGATTATTTTATGGCATGATCGTTTGGGACATCCAGCAACTGGGATGATGCAAAGAATAATAGCACATTCAGTTGGACATTCAATAAGAAATGTCAAAATTCCCCGATCAGATGAATTAACATGCTCTGCATGTTCACTTGGCAAATTAATAATAAGGCCATCTATGAACAAAATTGCTACTGGATCTCCAAAATTCTTGGAAAGAATTCAGGGAGATATATGTGGGCCAATTAATCCAGCATGTGGACCATTTCGATATTTCATGGTTTTAATTGATGCCTCTACACGATGGTCACATGTTAGTCTACTTTCAAGTAGAAATGTTGCCTTAGCAAAATTACTTGCCCAAATCATCAAATTAAGAGCACAATTCCCAGATCATACAATAAAGAAAATAAGACTTGACAATGCTGGGGAATTTACATCCCAAACATTTAATGATTATTGTATGTCAATTGGAATTGATGTTGAACACCCAGTAGCTCATGTTCATACACAAAATGGTCTAGCTGAATCACTAATTAAGAGATTACAATTGATTGCAAGACCATTATTAATGAGGTCAAGATTTCCATCATCTGCTTGGGGACATGCTATAATACATGCAGCAGCGCTAATTAGATTGAGACCTACAGCTTATCATAAATTCTCACCACTACAACTTGTTTGTGGTCGAGAACCAAGTATCTCACATCTAAAAATCTTTGGTTGTGCTGTATATGTTCCCATTGCTCCACCCCAACGAACAAAAATGGTTCCACAAAGAAGGCTGGGAATTTATGTCGGGTTTGAATCCCCCTCTATAATTAAATACCTTGAACCATTGACTGGTGACTTATTTACGGCTAGATTTGCGGACTGTCACTTTAATGAAACAGTATTCCCAGCCTTAGGGGGAGAGAAAGTGGACCCACATAAGAAAGAAATTGAACTCATTTGGAATGCAACACAACTGTTGATGTTAGACCCACGAACAAATATGTGTGAACAAGAAGTTAAGAAAATTGTTCATTTACAAAGTGTTGCAAATCAATTGCCCGATGCATTTGTAGACACAAAGAAGGTGACAAAATCACATATACCAGCAGAAAATGCCCCTGCACGTATTGAAATCCCAACTGGTAATAAGGCCATAGAAAATGAATCTCAGGCACGCAGAAAGCGTGGAAGACCACTTGGTTCAAAAGATTCTAAGCCAAGGAAACTAAAAAGATTGGATGGAATAGAAAATGAGACTAATAATGTTCCCCCGTCAGAAGGTCAAGAAAGACCAAATGTGGATGAAAGTAAAGAAAATGATGATAATCCAAAAGGGGACGAACAAGAAGACAACCCTACGGGGAATGAACAAGATGTTCAAAACATCGATAACAATGAAATTTCAATGAATTACGTCTCTACAAAGACTCAGTGGAATAGGAAAGATGTTATCGTTAATGAAACATTTGCAAATTCCATCGCAATCGACATCGTGTCTGATGAAAATGATGTTGAACCAAGAACTGTAGAAGAATGTCGACGTAGGAGTGATTGGCCAAAGTGGAAGGAGGCAATGCTGGCTGAGTTAAAGTCACTTGAAAAACGAGAAGTTTTTGGGAAAATAACCCTTACACCAGCAGGTGTAAAACCCGTTGGATACAAATGGGTATTTGTAAGAAAACGTAATGAGAAAAATGAAATAGTTAGATACAAGGCAAGACTTGTAGCCCAAGGATTTTCTCAAATTCCAGGGATTGATTATGAAGAAACATATTCTCCAGTGGTTGATGCAACTACATTAAGATTTCTGGTAAGTTTGACAGTCACAAAAGGACTGCAAATGCGATTAATGGATGTAGTGACTGCGTATTTGTATGGGTCACTCGATACGGACATTTACATGAAAGTCCCCGAAGGACTAAAACTACCAGAAAACCACAAGCCTAGACAACTGCTTCCATAAAACTAAAAAGGTCACTTTATGGATTGAAACAATCTGGAAGGATGTGGTACAACCGTCTGAGTGAATACCTTATGAGAGAAGGATTCAAAAACAACCAAGTTAGTCCCTGTGTTTTCATAAAGCGATCACAATCAGGATTCGCTATCATTGCAGTTTATGTTGATGATTTAAATATTATCGGAACCCCAAATGAACTCGAGAAAACTGCAAAATACTTGATGAAAGAATTTGAGATGAAAGACCTTGGGAAAACTAAATTTTGCCTTGGACTACAAATTGAGCACTTGAGTCATGGCATTTTTGTCCATCAATCAAACTATACAGAAAGAGTTTTGAAACGTTTCTTCATGGACAAAGCAACCCCAACCAACTTCCCAATGGTTGTTCGTTCTTTGAATATGAAAAATGATCCATTCAGACCCCGAGAAGAAAATGAAGAGATTCTGGGTCCAGAAGTACCATACTTAAGTGCAATTGGAGCCTTAATGTACTTAGCTAACAATACTAGACCCGACATAGCTTTCTCTGTGAATTTGTTAGCCAGGCACAGCAATGCACCAACATATAGACATTGGAAGGGAGTTCGACACTTACTCCGGTACCTACGAGGGACACAAGACCTTGGTTTATATTACCAACCAAAACAAGATGCTGCTCTCATTGGGTATGCAGACGCTGGATACTTATCAGATCCTCAAAATGCCAAGTCACAAAATGGATATGTATTCACTTATGGCGGCACTGCAATATCATGGAAATCAACAAAGCAGACATTGACCGCGACATCATCAAATCATGCAGAGTTGATAGCCCTCTATGAAGCAGGACGGGAATGTGTGTGGCTGAGGTCGATGATCAGTAATATCCAAAAGGAGTGTGGAATGAACGCAATAACAGAAGACCCAACCATCATCTTTGAAGACAATACAGCATGTATCGCTCAAGTAACTGAAGGATATATTAAAGGAGATAAAACGAAACATATTGCCCCAAAACTGTTCTTCACACATGATCTGCAAAAGGACGAGGAAATAAATATCCAGCAAATTCAGTCTTGTGAAAATCTTGCCGACCTTTTCACCAAATCACTTCCTTCGAAGAAATTTGAACAGTTAGTTCACAAAATCGGAATGCGACATCTTCGTGAACTATGCTGAGATCAGGGGGAGTATTATATGTACTGCACTCTTTTTCCCTTCGATCAGGTTTTTATCCCACCGGGTTTTTCCTGACAAGGTTTTTAACGAGGCAGTATACCAAAGCATATAATACAATAATATTGGTATACTCTTTTGGCTATGGGTCTTATCCCATAAAGTTTTACCTAACAAGATTTTTAGTGGCATTCAAGGGGGAGTGTTAGAAGATAAGTCTAATAAGTGAATGCCAATTATTGATTTGATTACACAATGCTCATATAGGTCCAAACACTTGTGAACTCATATGGCTCTATGTGAGTAATTATTGTATTATTAGTGTAACTCATGGCTATAAATACAATGCCATAGAAGTAAGAATACAATGATAACACTACAACAATTTCACCCATCTTCTTTCACTCTTTTACTCCTTTTATTAATCAAAACTTTTCTATCGGTAAATTCTTTAACAGGTGCAAAACACTTGACATAAAATTATTTTTGATGGTCAACTTTACCAGTTTACCTAGTCCTATTCCTATAGCAAGTTGTACTGTATTAGGTCCACTAATTAATCAGAAAGGCCATGCAACCTCTTCACAATTGCCTTTTAGCTTTAACAAGTTGAATGTAAGATAAACTTTAGAGGCCCAATAATTTATAAGGACAAATGGTACGACGAAGTAGAATTTAAACAATAAAAATAATACAGTTAAAAAATATAAAAAATCAACCAAATTCTACCCATGTGAAATAAATTCAAACATTAAATACAGAGTATATAATATTTTGTTCACGTTAGTCTAATGTTTGGCACTAGAATTATTTATTTACTCCATAATTTTTTAGAAAGAAAGGTACTCAAATTTAATAATCCTCATCCCTCCATCTCTCGGGAATAAATCAATAGAATCTAAAAGTTTTCCCATCTCAGAATAGAATACTTTTTTCAAAAGAAAATATTTTTTATAGGCTCATTTTCATTTACAGACTGGTGTTTAAACACACTCGCTTTGGTATTATAGATAGAATAATACTCCGTATTCATTTACTGGAATAATAGTAATCAAAGTGTACATTGAAAATATAGGACACCCAACATATGTAGTGAATAAATTTAAAAAGAAAATAAGATAATTTGTTATTTAATTTGAATCAAAGGAAGTACATGTGATTAATTTAAAAAATTAACCAAGATTGATTGCAAAATGAAATTAATCAACAATTATTTGAATATTAAAAAAAAAAAAAAAAAAAAAAAAATCATGTAAGTTGAACCCAAATTCCTTTACTAGGAATATTTTGGTGCACCACAAATATCATGTAAAAACCAGGGGGTGCTATGTTAGTGGACCTAGGTGTCACAATCTTGACCTTATATTGGCCCAAACCAATAGGCATTATTGGCCCTTTTTTGGTCAAAACCAACATTCTTTGGCTCATAGAAAATGAATGTGTGTTAAATGGTGGTCTAAGCATCGTAACCTTAATTGAATCCGGCTTAATTAACCCTTTAACTGAAAATTTGATTGTAAAATTTTTCTTGTACTTGATCTTACCACCTATGTTTTTTGTGGTTATAACGGGTCTAAGCCGTGTTTTCGACGAATCCAAGTATGGTGGCGAAAATGTCTCTAGGCTAAGTTCGGTAGGGAAGAGCACATTGGTGAAGTTGTAGTAAGCATGAGGGTTACTTCCCCCTACTAAAACACGTCCATCACGTAACAAAATTGCACACGAATGATACATCCTAGGGATTGTAGCTGGATTTTGTAGCTCGAACCTTGATCCGGGAGCTTCATTTGGGTGGTAGATCATGGGAGTTAGGACTGGTTCGCGTCCTAACTCCCATCCTGCACTACCTTTACCTGCACCATTAATTATTAAAACATCGCCGTTGGGAAGGACCACCATGTCACTCATGACTCGAGCCATTGGCATAGTTTCAATAGTCCAAGTAGGGTTAGGATCAGTATACCTCATACGTGCACACGTGTTTAGAGCTGGCAAAAACTTGTGCGAGTTTAATGCTTTTAAGTATGACCCCGCGGGTGCACCTCCGCATATCAACACTTCTGCTTCGATTTTATCCGAACCCATTTCTATATTCTTTATAGGCAAGAGAACGGCTGAACCCGTACTAGGGTAACTCCGAGGGTCGCCCCCCGGGATAGTAGGGTACGTTCGTACAACTTCGTTTTTAGTATAATCGAATAAAATGGCTCGATTATTAGCAAAGATAAACAAATTCCCATCTACATGAAGGAACACGAAAGGGTACAAATTGTTTTCGGCTTTAGGATCAGTAGTGTCCTTTAAAAAGGGCATCGTAAAGAGTTTAGAGGATGGTGTTTTAGGGTAGAATTCGTAGTTAAAGGCTTTCGTACCACCCACAATTATCATCCTTCCATCAGGCAATGCGTGGTTAGTAGCATACCATCGACTTTGCAACAATTGTTTAGGGATTTCAACCCAATCACATGTTTTGCAAGACGGTTGGAATGTTCTAACCACGCGTTCTCCATCTCTGTACCCACCACTCTGTACGAGGGTGCCGTTGGGGAGGGTGGCGCCGGAGGAGCACCAATTGTTGGTTAACACCGTGAGGGGCCGAAACGTGTTGGATATAGAGTTGTATATTGCGGAGTGGGCTGTGCAATCTTTTTTGAAGCATTTGCCGTTGGCAAGGGTGAGGTTTGAAGGGCCGAAGTCAGTTCTATCGTAAATAATGACACGGTCATCGTTTAGGAGTTGCATATGCATGGCCGAAATGCCAATGCTTTTTTGTAAGAGTTGCCATCGGCCTCCCCCTGCAGCAATTATACTGCGGGGGAGAAGGATAAAGAGAGAAAATAAGAAGAGAAGATGTGACATGACACGAGATAAGATAAGTTAATATAATACAGAACGAGTTCAAAAATAAATGTGGGGTGAGGTATTTGAATTTCTTGATGGTGAAATGGGAAAGACAATTTGTGGGATATATATACACAAACATGCATGTAAGAAAGCAAGCTTATGTAAGAGAACAAATTTGGGGAGGAATGTTAGTAGTTAGTGATAGAATAAACCATATTATTTTTTAATTCATTGAACCATGTTCTTCATATAATACTATATGAATAAATAGTTTTATTAGTTACGAGTAGTAGCCCATACATAGAATCCGAGTCCCTATAATTATGGGATTTTCTAAGGAGCATCAACGTTTTGATTATTACAGTTCATTTTGTTATGATTTTATTAATTAATTATACATTTTTAATGTTGAATGTTAATTTCATAATAACTGTAATCATGTAAACATGATGATAAATAGGTTTACGAATAGACATTAGATTGATCCGGATAGTGACTAGCTCGAGTTCAAGGAAGATGAGATTGGTGAGTCATTGTCATGACCCTTTCTTTTTTGAATTTTAAAAAGTTATTAGCCTACGGCGGGTTTATGAAATATAATTTAACTCACTCGTGTATAGTCGACACCAACACAAAACCAATTCAATTCAATCAAACATGAGTTACATGACTATTTTTTGCTGGCTCTAATTTTCATACATTGTAATTAATTAGATTATAATATGTAATGTTATATGAACTATTATTTCAATCAATCATTATATGTTGTTATCTCCAGGTCTCATTACTCTTATTTATATATACACGAAATACAAAAATGCAAAGAATAATATTATGCACATACATAGTTTTTTAATTTTATTTGGTTTGACAATAATTCAATCATCAGTAACAATTAATTGCATTCCTATGTTTACGGTTTACTGACATTATTCAAATATTTAGTCAATGTTTGACATTCCAACTGCTAATAAACACCTCAAATACAGATTAAATGTATATGTAATAATGTTAATGGTGTTACTAATACTACGTAGTATTAGTATAATTTTATCTACAGCATATCAATAATTCAGTTATGTCCAACTGTCATGCCATGCAAAAATTCCAACGCTCATGCTAATATGCCATGCAGATCTTTATAAAAGATTTTCGATTTTTAATGTGAGTTGTGCTTAATTAATTAAAAAATTTCACCCTTTACGGTCTTTACACGTGGATGTGTGTGTGTTTTTTTTTCCCTCTAGACCAAGGATGAGTCCTCTTAAAGCCTGTACACGTCAACTTAATTTCAGTTCAGTTCAGTTGTAAGGGCCTGTTCACATTTACTGAACTGAACTGAACTGAACTGAATTGATTGAAGTTGAACTGAACTGAACTGATTAGAGCTGAACTGAATTGAACTGAGTTGAAATGAATATTTTATGAGAGAGGGAAATTAGGAGTTGAACTGAACTGAACTGATTGGAACTAAACTGATCTGTTGAAATGAAATTAAGTAAATGTGAACAGACCCTTAATTTCCTTCTCTCATAAAATATTCATTTCAGCTTTATGAGTCTGTTCTCATCAGATTATTTTCAGATCATTTCAGCTCTAATAAGTTCAGTTCAGTTCAGCTCCTAATTTCCTTCTCTCATAAAATATTCATTTCAGTTCAGTTCAGTTCAGCTCAGCTCATTTTAGTCAATGAGAACAGGCAGTTCAGTTCAGCTACAATCAATTCAATTCAGTTCAGCTCAGTAAATGTGAACAGACCCTTAATTTCATGTTATATGTTCGAGTGAATGATTATCAAGCATGTAAAATGTAACATGTAGTTTTAGGTGAACCCATAAACCGGAGTGTTGTAACCATGATCAGCTCTTGGAAAATATAATTGTTTCTGTATGTTCAATCTAGAATGAATCTGAAATTGTAGCAAGGAGCTAAATGTGCACGTTCATACCTTATCAAGAACTCCAAGTAACGCGTATACTGCAGAACTTTGAGAAAATATGCAAGGATGCTATAGTATGCATGTACCATAGCTAGCTTAATGTTGTCGATAACAATCTAGAAACACCCCTCGTAGTTGTGAGATGTGCCAATGAAGTTACCAGCCATGCGCAGTTGAATGTGGTGATGTCGGGCAAAGCAATGATGAGGCAGCTAAGGAAAGAGTTGCCAGATTAGAGCGCAATCTGAAGAATATGTTCATGGGTGATAACTGAATATTTCAGTGAGAAATCTTAACTTTAAATCAAAAAGATGTTAGATGCTAACATCTTTTCAGCTGCAATAAGTAGTGTATAATGTATATCATCTGAGTGAATTTCTTTGCACATGCTCATCTGTTTACCTTTCATGGTCTGGCTTCTTTTTTATTTTTTTCAAATTTATTCCTTTTGTAAAAAGATATAGAATAACTGGTAAAAAGGAGATTCTTTTTCCTTTTATGCATTTTTGAAAAGTATTATTTTGTAATTTTCTTCTAAATTATCCCTCTTCTCACATTTACATAAGAGTAAATTAGTTATCATGAAAAAAAAAAAACATAATTTCAAAATGCAGGGTAACTAATTTATAAACAAAAACAATTCATCATGAGCAACTCTAGTCTGTAGTACTTAAATCACCTATTATAAGACATTCGTTATAACAAAGAGAACACCTTGGAGATCGGACTTGATTAGAAGATCACTACTTCGAATCAGTCAGTGTTTCGAGGTGGATAAAGCTCCCATAGAGCAACTGTGGTATCTTCTGATGAAGATGCGAGCAGCTTAGAGTCCCTAGAGAATGACACAGCATTGCACTGCAACAAGAAGAAGAGCAAGTTTTCGGATAAACAAAGACATACCAAACTAACAGTGACAAACTTAACAATCCAAGCAATTTTGTAACAGCAAGCAAAAGAGCTACCAATGCACTATGATACTTGAGTATAGCAAGAGCATTTCCTTTCCGATAGTTGTATATCCTGACTCTGTCACATTGTCAATAAACAAAGAGGACCACATGTAAGATGTAACTTCACAAAATGTTGATTCCAAGCAAGAAACCATAGATAAAAAAAAACTGATAGAAAAACTATACAAACTGATAGAAAAACTGTTTTTAAACCACTAACAATCAGTTTAACGGTCTAGCCTACTCCAAAGCTACTTGAACCTGACATTGATAAAGATGGGATTGAGACCAAAGAGAGCTAGGCTGGAGTCAAAGAAGCAGGCTTAGTAGATTTTAACAAATACTTATGAGGATCTCAAATGGTTAGCGAAATTCTAGAAACAGGAATATTTTAAGAGATGAATTTTAACAAATACTTGTGAGGATCTCAGAGGTCAGCAAAATTTGGAAATAGGAATATTTTAGGAATGTATCTTCTTAGTTGGAGATTGTAATGAAAGCTCAAGTTACTCAAGGTCAAGCTGAGTTACGAACCAAGTCTGGAATGTCAAAAGATTAATACACTTGAGCTCAGCTCGGATTGATATAACCTTTACTCATAGTAAAGCATTACGAGAAGGGGGTGGTAGTAATATAGTATAGTCGGTAGAAGAAATCAAGGCATTTACAAGCAGTAGCACAAGGTATAAGTGTGAGCAAGGAAGAGTGCCACAAATTCCAAATTAAAGGTCCAAGCCCCAAATGAGCTTTATATGAACCATGTGCCTAGTGGCTTATCACCTTTCCCACAATATTTATCTTACAAACCCATCTATAACTGTTGCTTCACAAGGACAACCGTACCAACACCTCCAATAGACATGCTTGAACATTGAAGCCTCACCTATTGCACGTTATGGTTCAATAGAAGTCAGCTTCCCATATTAGACCTTTTTACTCCTACAAAACAGCTCTTTTCACTAAAGCAACAAACTCCATTGCTCCAAATGCTTCAGACGTCGGCAATGGTACCAACACCCTTTGCAGTAAATTGTAAGACATGATGCCACATAAATAGACTTTACAATTGACACTGCTCAACTGCTGGCTTATCATTAAAGAGCAGATGGTAATGCCATAAAGGTTGATAGCAGTGACATAGAGGGCCTTCATCTCAAATTCTCAATAATGAATATAATACAAGTATACTGAAGAATCAGACAACTTGATTAGGGAAAAATAGCACACATCTCAGCTTACCCAAATTCCACCTAAAACCAAATACATATTTTGTGGTGGTGCTGGCCATTTTAAATACAACTTGGCAAAGCAAAAGAAGGATTTAATTGTCATTTACAGGAAATTTTAAGCTAATATATACCATTTTGTTAGACCATGCTTGATGTTTGTGCTATTTAAATTTGGGAAGGACACAGTGAGAAACAGGTGATACCTGGGAAGTTCTGTTCTATTCTTGTCTAACTAGGGCAATGCATCATAACTATGAGTTAACTCAATGGTTTGGATTGAATGAAAATTAGTCATTTAAAAGTCTGTCTGCCTATAAGATGCAATGCAGCTGTGAGCTGCTGTGAGCGGCGTGCCTGTGTAGTTGTGTAGTGTAATAGTGAAGATTGGTGAAACAGGTTGCATTGTAAAGTTAATTTTCCAGGGAGTAGCTCAATCGGTATAGGTAACAAGTTGTCACCGAAACAGAAGCAAGATGACTTAAGGTAATGATTAGATTGTCAAAAGTAAAGACTCGCATAGGTTTCAAGCAGATTAAAAAGAAACTGAAAACAACCAACCTGCGGTCCCATCCAGCAGTAGCAGCAATTTTACCATCTGGACGAATTGAAGTGCCTGCTATTCCAGGTCGCTCCAAGCTAATTTCTTTCCTAACCACACAAGTACCCTAGATAGAGTAGACAACGACATCATCTTAATCTCAATTTCAAGAAAGAATTCGATAGCAATTATTTAAAGAAACATTGTCAGACAAATTAACAGCAGCAAGGGATACTAAGTTCTTTTTACGTACAGAACAAAAATTAATACCCCATATGATGATATATCATCTTCCCATAAAAGTAAATAATACGTAGTAGTAGAAACTATCAAGAAATGAACGCTGCCAAACTGATATAACATCATAAAGATACAATTAACTAGAAGCAGCAAATTGTTACAAGAATCTACTTATGACACTGGAATTTTAACGATAGAGATCTTTAGAGAAAAATCTCCTTTCTACTGTATGCCCTAGTAATCTTGCATACATCTGGATCTAATCAAATTCAGCCCCATATCATAGCCTGTTGACATTGTAACAATCTATAAAACAGGGTTAGCTTGTCTATTGTATTGATCAATAACATGACTCCATCCTAATGTCTAGGCCTAATAAAACAATATGCTCTTTGAAATATGAGGCACATGATAATTATACATGACTGTAGCCTTCAATAGAACATAAACCGTGTACAGAATAAAGGAAATTACCATATCGTAATCTAAATTAAATAGAAGAATCTTGTCATCTGCAGCGCCAGCAACACCTCCTTGGCATGATTGATCAACTGCCAAGCTAATAACTGCATGCAAGAATTGGCACAAATCACACTTATTCATGGAAAATTACAAAATCTCCATGTCAGGAAGAGGGCAGCAAAACCTGGTTCTGAATAGTACTTTACAGAAGTCAATGGTTTTGAGGTGTTCCTCATATCCCACCATGCCATAGTCCCGTCCTCATAACTGTTGTATGCAAGTTATAAGATATTAGTATAAGTACAATAAAAGGTTGAATTACAAGGGGAAAAAAAAAAAAACTCCATTAATCAGTAACTTCTTAAGTTTAAATCTTTAACAGAAATCCATTGATGCCAATGTCCCAGCTACTCTGAAGTCATCAAAACAAGCTCATCCAGCACTTAGAACATAAGCATATCCAGAAAATTAGTAAAATATAGGGAATAAGTGGCCCCACTTATGGGATTAAGGTTTTGATTGATTGATAGGGAATAAGTGCCCTTGTTTTGTTATATTTGATCATATTTAATGCTTTTACCCAGATTCTATGTTGAAAACACCCCAATGTCTTTTATAATAATTCCAGATACACCCCCCCCCCCCTCCCTGGCCCTCACACAGGGTTTCAAAATCTATTTCCCGGAGAATCAAGACTCATTAAGAAAAAATTGAATTTTAACTATGTACCATAACAACCATCGAATCCTCCTTTGACATCCACAATCACATTTCCAACCCCCTTTGCTCACCCCAAACCATGATACTTCAACCCTGCCTGCCCCACTCTCCAACCCGAGTCCCAGTTGTCACAACATCTACATTGTATCATCACTAAATCAGATATTGGTGGTGGTGGGTGGGGGGGGGGGATGCAAAACGGACTTGTTGAGAACTTGAGATCAATATTAGAAAGAAGATTGATCCAAAAGGCTTAGCAAAGTCAATTGTCTCTCATCAACTCAAATTAATGGCATAGGGATGAGAGAAACTGATGGTGGACAACTTAACCTGTGGTCAAAGTTGAACAGAAAAATTCAGCATCAGGATTATTAGTGGTTCAATTCGACCATCAAAGGGCAGGATCAACAAGTTGCAGGATAAATGAGCCACCAGAGAAGACAATTTTACAAGTGAATGAGCATCTGGTGAAAGATGGGGATGATGATGGTAAGTTGGCAGAAGGAAGAAGATGGTGGAAAAGTTGAGAAGTGGTGGCAGTATTGACAGGAAAGGGAAGGGACAGAAAAGGAGTGAAAATATTTTTTTAGGATGAGTGAACTGAAATGGCGGTGTTAAAGAGTATGGGGGTTATTCCTTTCCTCCTAGTGAACCAAAAGTTCCCTAAGATTAATGCCATTTCAGACTAAAACTCCACTCGTTGGCACAATTCAGCTGACACCAAAGAGGAGCAGGGTTTTAGCAAATTCAAGAATTCTGCAGGTCCATATTAGATTTAACCCACTCAAAATATTATTTGTCTGTATCATGAACATTCTATCGAATTAGTAAATATACAAACATCTGAGGAATGACATAAAGCACCTGCAAACCACTTAATTAACAAACCAACCCCCCCCCCCCCCAAAAAAAAAAAAAAAAAAAAAAAAAAAGGGAATATAAGAAGCTGAAACCTTTTTGGAAGGGAAACCCATAGTAAAAAAAAATTGCCTTATAAGAAGAATTTAATATGCCCCGAAAACATTACTAGTATAATGGGAGGAAATGGTGTGGAAAAAACAACAAGAATATCATGGCAGGATTTCCATTTATCAGAACCTATAATAAATCAAAAGAGAGCAGTAATAAAAACTTTTGAACAGCATACCCAGCCAAGACATGTAAGGACCCTTGGAATTTAGATGGTATAAACGCTTGAACGGCCATGCACATTCCTGCAGGAAATATTCAGTTGCATTCCAACGTTAATCTGGAAAACACAAGTTATTCCCCAAACAAGACCAAAAGCATGTATACTCAGATTGCTGCTGAGGCTATAGCAAAGAAATGAAGAAAATCTTGAAGGCCTCATCTTATGCTTAAGTGTAACCCCTGTGTGTTGGGACATAAGATGGGATTCCAAGTACAGGAGAAGGGCTTGCATGCATAAACTTCAGTCACTATAACATTAAATCAAACAGATTCTGCTGTGATCTTATATTAAAGAAGAAAACAAATGAAGGCAAGAAACAAACAAAAATGGTGAAAAATATAACTCTACAGGAAAAGAAGGGTTCAGGTTCAGCAGCTTAACATCACTTTTACCAACTCCTTATGGAAGCTTTTACAGAAGGAAATCACAATATCTTTAGCATCAACCATTCCTTTTTATTCTCAGTTTTCTATTATGCCCAGGTCCTGTTTGCTACATAACTGACCATGGAAAACTCTGAACCAAGAGAGAATATTGAGTAAAATGATGATATAACATACCTCTCTTTTTTTCGGAATCACTCCCAACTCCATTTGAAAAACTTTGAGGAAGTCTCATACACCTTTCTGCAGTATTGAGATCCCAAATCTCAACCTTTTTCATATTATTGGCATCGATGTTGTAAATAACATAATTCATATAATAAAAGAAGAAATAAAATATAAAAGCAAAACAGTCATCAACCTGAGAGGGTTGTTCTCCTGCAACTGCAACGTATTTTGGTCCTTCAATCTGCATATCATCTAGAGATAGAAAACAAACGATTAATCTTGCCTCACACATATATACAGCAGAAAATTTAGAATAAGTAACTGCAATTTAAGAAACAATTTGACACAAATTACAGGATATCCATCCATTCATAGCCATTACACTCTCATTGGAGAGAAGGGGGGGGGGCATATAAAACACATGGAGTAGTTGGCAGAAGATAGATACACAACTACCTACATTTTAAAACTCAAGTTTAAGTGCTTGATTGGTGGAAAATAATTAACAGAATCGACAATGATAAAAAGAAGAATCTGGCCTACATCTCTCAATAAGGTCAAACGACAGATTACCGAGCGAGATTTTATATGACCAATTAGCGGTCATGTATGATTCCAAACAATATTATACGACCCCGATATGCATCCCTTACATTCCCGCAATTTAGCGATAACCTCTAATAGCCTTCACTTTTGGACATGACTAGAAAATTAGTCGAGGTTCTTCCCATAGACCCCACGACACCCCAAGAGGTAAATCAGATGGTTGGAACCATCCAATTTGCCTTTAATCAGTAATTTTAGCCATTTTTGTACACACCTCCCTTAATTGACTTAAGGTCACCACAAGCCTTCTCATGATCGACTAGTGGTCATATATGGTTCCAAATAACATTATATGACCATAGGATACATTCCCTACAATCTCGAGATTTTTCGGCACCAAGTCTCGAAACCCCCAAAATCAATCAAAAAGCATGGATTATAACCTTCAGTTTTGGATAATATTGAACTTTTCCGCACCTGGAAAGAAATTTGGTCAAGGTTCTTCCCATGGGCCCCACAACACTCCGGAAGGCCATTAGAGTGATTGGCGTTGTCAACTTTGCCTTTAAACCGTCAATATAGTTGTTTTTGTATACACTTCCTTCTATTGGCTATAGGCCACCACAGGCCTTTACGTAACCGACTAATGTTCATATATGGTTCAAAACAACATAATATGACCCTGGGATGCATCCTTTACAATTCCGTGAGTTTTCGACATTAAGTATTAAAACCTCCAAAATTGGCCCGATTTAGTGTCTTATAGCCTTCAAATTTGGTTTCCAGGGAACATTTTTTAGCCCGACCAGATTTTGCATTGAGGTGCTTCTGGGAGTTCTATTTGGTGCCCGGAACCAACTCTTTCATGCCTTAGCCCACCCTTAATCTTCATATCTTAAGATGTCTTCCATTCATCCATTGTCTTGCCTTGGCCTTGTTACCTTGTCTTGGCCTTCTCTTTGGCCCTAAGACAAGCCAAGACACTTACCACGATTGCCAAAAATAAATTAAGAATGCGGTGTTTTTAAAATGGTGCTTCAGGAAATGCAATTTTATTCAAACCAAATGCAAAATCGGTCTGCAAATTCCAAATCCCCCCCCCCCCTCAAGCCGTAAGTAAAAAGAGCTCACGGTGTTGCCTTTGGGTGGAACTAGAAAAGGCTTTAGAGCCAGAATTTCAAAAGTTGACAAGAATTACTACATATGCAGAGATATCTAGTCTAGAAGAATAAAAATAAAGCATGGCACAACAGCATATGTCTAACCTATACCACTTTAACAACAGAATGGAAGGTTTCCCCGAGTAAATGATAGCCCACTACATCTGAGGTTCTTCCGGTAATCAAAACCCCCTAAAATATGAGTTGCTAGACATGTATAATATGTATATGCAGCAAGACAATGAATGACAAGTTTGAAAACATACAGGTCATATGTGCATATGTTGATGACTGATGAGCTTAATCATGAGAATAGATGTCAAAAATGACGCAGAAAAGTACTTGGACACAACCATATGACATTGTCGATAGTAGATTGATACTAAAGATGGTATTGAAATAAGTTTCACATAAGGTACTGGTAAAAGAGGCAATATAATCCTAACCTACAAGTTACTACCGAGGAAGCATTAATTTGTAAGTAGTTCAATGAAAACAAGTGAGAAAGATTCAGCAGTTCACTTTCAACCTTCAAATTGTTTATTATGATGCAAGAAGACAAGTCCTAGATAGACTTAATAAGCTTGGATTTAGGGTGACAGTCATTAGAACCAAAGCTAACACGACAATGGCACTGGTCTTTCATAGGTAAACTAACTGGCATCATTCCTAACAAGGTAAATTAGCCACAGATTCTTCATTTAGATGGAATGCTTTAGCCAAAGTTAAAATTAAGATGTCACAAGAAAGCAAAGAGGATGATCATTAATCTTATCCACTTTTTTCTTTATGAGGGTAAGATCGTAAGAAGGTCCACTTCCCAGCCTGTTACTACTAGTAGCCTGAGGGCATCAACATATAACCATTAGAGAAAGGAAAAAAAAAAAAAAAGCCAAACAAACAAGCAAACTAATTCCTAGCTGGATTGAATAATATAAAATGCCTCCTTTATTGGCTTCCTAATACAGAGATAAAACAATCTATTCTAAGTATTCATAAAGTTACACCATAAAGTAAATCTAACAGGCACACTTGCACAAATGCTTCGAAAAGAAGCAATGTTTCGTCAACTAATGACAAAACCAGCATCTTATACAATATGAAATAAGAAAAATTAAGATTTAAAGACAAAAACCTATGATCTGCATCTGCAAAGATAAAAAATTTGTTGCTGGGAAAAGGGAAAATTTTGGACTTTCAAATGATAAAACGGCAGATTGCTAAGCTCACCTGAATGTTCTGGTTGATTTTCTACTGTCTTCTTAGTAGAATCACACAATAAGTTTGCATCCATATCCCCACTACAATCCACATCCTTCTCCTTAATGGATGGTTCGGTAGGCTTCAACTTCACAGCGGGCTTTCCCACCAATGATAGCTTGCAAAAATGGTAAGAATTTGTGCTGATAGTGACCGAGGGTGTTCTATTAAAAAGAATCTAACATCAGAAGCTTAAAAGCCCACTTACACAAACACGAACAACATTGAATAGCAAGGAAAATACAAAGTTGGCAACAAAGTATGTTTGCAGAAGGAAATTACGGTCTAAATACCTGGAAAGTCCTCCATTTTCAAAATCCCACAACTTTATTGTTCCATCCCTTCCCTGACTACAAAGAATAACCCAAGCAATCAGCTAAGAGAGAAAAAGGAGCCAAAATGTCGCTACAAAAATTGCACCAATTCAATTTCTACACAGAAAAAAAAGAGAAATAATATAACCTAAGAACTTTGTCACCTCCAATAGAAGGATCGGAAGCAACACACATAATCCCATGAGCTGCACTGTGAACCCTACAACAAAAACAAAAAATCACCTAGTACAACTCACATTTTCTTCATACAAAAGCAATTCGATAAATCAATCAAAACCAAGGTGCATGAATGATTTCCCATGAATGATGAAAGATGATCTTCATTGTAGAAAGACTAAGGCCATTTTTTGACCCATGTCATACAACCGTTTGTAAATAGAAAATTGCCAAGATGAAACAAATACCACGCAGAGTTTAACGTCCGATGCTGCGCTGTATCCCATATCCTTAACTCACCATCCGAAGAACTGCAAACCATCCACAACATTTTGTAACTAAATTAACATCGCAAGTTCCAATGACTAACACAATATAGTATAACTGAAGGAGTAAATTATATACCCAGAAAACAGTAAGCGTTTACTCCAATGGAAGCAAACATCCATAACCGACGCACGGTGCCCTCTCAGCACAGCAATTGGATCAGGGGGTGGTCTCTTTTGGCTCATTCTTTCGTTCTGCAACTAAATTGTCCTAATTAAACTTCTCTTCTTTCCCAATATACTCTTCAAGCAGTATACTATGCATTCCCAACAATTACCACCAAAAAAAAATGGTGTAAGCTGCAATTCTAAAGGTGGGAATTATCTAACAGCAAGAATTCATCCTATCTTTGATTTGACATATAAATTAACACCCGTATAATATTGAGGCCCCTCTTACATTTTCATATAAAGATTATATCTTTGCAACATGAAGCACTTGAATCATTCAATTTTTATTTCATTATACTGAATAGTTTTATCAGGTTAACAGTGCCATCTTTCTAAGAATATTTCAAGGAAATTTAATTTATTTTACTGAAAATAAACTTAACCCAATTATAATTGGGTGGCTTGCCGGAGATTTTACATCCAAATTAACATTAGCTGATTTTTCAATTTATTCCCAAAGTTTTTATTCTATTTTTATACCGGAAAATTCAATAGGGAGAAAATATAACTACAGTATATATGCTGAGCATATTGACCAAGAAGAAACAATGGAAATTGCCCAAAAATAAATATTAAAAAAAAAAAAAGGAATGAAATGGTATGTACCTGGTGCTTTGCCTTGCCCGAAATCAGAGTTAACACTGAATAGAGAGGACCGACTATGAAAGACAACAGAAAAAATGCAAAAAGGAAGACTTTAGCCAAGTTATGTTTGACGGGTACTGGGGTTTGGACTTTTTAGGGTCTCCTAGTCAAGGACTTTTTAGGGTCTCCTAGCTCGAACTGTATTTCAATTTAATTTAATAAAAATAAGGAAAAATTGTCAAAAATAATACTACTTTCGTTAAATGTTATGTGCAAATTTGGGTATTATTTTTTGGGTTAATTTTTAAATTACCACCCCAAAATGTAACCATTTTTGAACTAACCACTCGTTTAATTTTTTATTTTAAATTACCACCCCTTAAATTAAATAAATGCTCAGATTACCACTCATTTCAAAAATCCAGTGGATATTCCGTCTGTAGGCCCCACCTAACACTTATTTTGACCCTTTTGACTGATTTTTTTCCCCGATTTTTCTCTTTAAAAACGCTCTTTAAACTTTAATTCACATTTTCTTCACCAAATTCTACAAAATTTCATAGAGAATAATGTGAATTGAACTTAGGAGAGCGTTTTTAAAGAGAAAAATCAGTGAAAAAATCAGTCAAAAGGGTCATAATAAGCGTTGGGTGGGGTCCACAGACAGAAAATCAACCGAATTTTTGAAATGGGTGGTAATTTGAGCATTTATTTAATTTATGGGGTGGTAATTTAAAATAAAAAATTAAATCGGTGGTTAGTTCAAAAATGATTACATTTTTGGGTGGTAATTTAAAAAAAATTTCTATTATTTGTGAGATATAAAATATTTCAAAGTTGCACATAACATCTAACGGAGGTAGTACAACATTTCAGCGGTTCGCCAAAAACAAGTCAACCTTTTGATTATTTCTGAATAATAATACAACCTTTTGAGGGGTATCCGCTTTAAACAAGATTATTTACCAACAACCTTAATAACCGGTTAATTTTTTTAAATCTAATGATTAGTTAATAAATTAAATAATTAAAATCTTAGATAAATTTTTTTTTTTAAAAAAAAAAAAAAAAAAAAAAAAAAACCTCTTCCACCACCGGCCACTCCTTCCCCTTCCACGGCAAGTTGCCAACCCAGCCCCCGACACTGGCCATGCTTAGATCTCCCCTTCCCGGCGTCAGCGCCGATCCTCATCCCTGCACATTCTCGTTTCTCTCTACTCTCTTCTACGATCCCCACAAAACCATTGAAAACCCTCCCTCCCCCAAAAACTACCTAAAACCACCGAAAACCACCTAAAACTTATCCCTTGTCCTCGAAAAACCTTAAGCGAAATCCTAGGGAGTTCCGGTTAAGATTTTTCGATGGGATGGGTTTTAGGTGGTTTTGTGCAGGAGGAAGGTTTCGGGGATGGTGGTTTTGTGGGGACGAGCGAAGGGGCGACAATATCAACATACTGCGTAGGGGGGTCGCCGCTGGCGCCGGAGGTCAGGTTGGTAGGTCACCGGGGAAGGGGAATAGGGTTGGCTGGTGGTGATGGTGGAGGTGAGTGGTTTTTTATAAATCAAATAAATAAATATAATAATATTATTAAATTAAATTGAAAAATCAATAAAAAATAATAAATTGTCAAACCAATAAGATTATGACACGTGTCTCATTTAATCTGTTAATTAGGTCACTAACATGTCATAACTCGTTTAATGTGGATACCCTCAAAAAATTATATTATTCAGAAATAATCAAAAGGTTGACTTGTTTTTTGCGGACGGTTGAGGCGTTGTATTATTTTTGACAAATTTTCATAAAAATAATGTAAGTTGCTAAGGGCTTGCTCACATTTACTAAGCTGAAATGAATATTGTATGATAAAAGGAAATTAGGAGCTGAACTGAAGTGAGGTGAACTGAACTAAACTGATTGGAGCTAAACTGAACTGAAATTAAGCTGAAGTGAACAGGCTCTAAATACGAAGTAATAATTTTGATTAAGCAAAAATAAGGTGAATAATAGAGGTTTAAATCTATGATTAGTCTCAAATCTTAAGCATTAATTTTTACACTTAAATTTGGTAATTGATTTACAACATTCCTTTAAGATGCCTATTAACTACATGTACTACAATAATTGTTCTTAATTTAGTAAATAATTATTCTTGTATTATTAGAATAATTATTGTTGGACATACAAATTATTGTACGCTCTCTCTTTAAGATTGATTGTATATATTGTTATTTACCACCTAATATTTCATCATATTGCCCTATGAAATATCCAATTTACCCTTACTCTCACCCACACACAATTCTCAATTTCTCTCCATTTTCTATATGAGATTCTAAGTATATTAACTATATAAATAAACGACTTCGTCAACTTTGTCACTTCGCTGGACATGCCACATGGTAGTTTCTATTTCTTCCATATTCTCTCCACATACATGGCGCTAATTCATTTTTCATCATACTTGTCACTTCGACAAATTGCCAACGTAATCAATTTCCTATGACAATCTCGGGAAATAATCAATACACAACCTACATAACATCTTCTGTTTCTTTTGCCTATACTTCTTTACGTTGTCAAAGTGGTTATCTTGGTGCCATTTTCTTCACGCAATTGTTTTTATAAAAAAAATAAATCAAACAAGCACTTTAATTCACGATAAATCAACTAAATTTCTTCAATTATTACATGTTTTATACGTTTGCAATGTCAAGCTCGATAATCATGTAACATACAACTTCCACAAAACTTCTTCATATTGTCTACAGTACTAACAATTATCATTCGCGCTACTAAGATATAGTTTATACACACTTTGCAGTATTAACCACCAACCCTAGCTTCATACAACCCACAATTGCTTTAACGAGTATACTTTGCAATTATAAATCATATCAATTACTAAGAACCACCATTATTTCTTTAATGCAACCAAAGTCATAAATCACTATTTTTCATGTACTTATATCACGATCAGTTAATTATTCATTTGGCGGTAAACAACTATACATTACTTCGTACTTTTTTTCAATGCCAATTTCATGTATTATCAAATATATAATACTCATAACGACTTTCATAACTGTTGGTAACAGTTGCCATATGAGGATGATTATTTTTCGCGCCACCACTATATCTTATACGCAAATGTCATCAACAATTACCATATTAGGATGATTATTTTCGCGCCACCACTATATCTTATACTCAACTGTCATCAATAGTTACCCTATGAGGATGATTATTTTCGCGCCACCACTATATCTTATACTCAACTGTCATCAATAGTTACCCTATGAGGATGATTATTTTCGCGCCACCACTATGTCTTATACGCAACTGTCATCACATATCACCAACTGATATACACTTCACATCCCAATCAACTGATTATACCTCAAAACAATAACCCGCCATTCTTCTAAATATCTCTATCTGATTCCAATCCGCCATTAAAAACAGAGCATCCACACCATCTTTTCAATTTCTTCAAACAATCACACTTCAGATTCCACGATAACTCTATTCATGCCACCATCACCCATCAACAGCTTCCATACACTTCACATCACGACTATCCTGATTACCCCTTTTTGCAATTCACACGTCGTACTCAACATCATCCATCATCCATCATCGATCTTCCACACCAATTTCACCTATTAGTGGTAACTAACAACCATCAAATTTCATTAACACATTAACATCTCAAAATTCATAGAATCAACAAGGATATTGAGAATTGAAGACATAAGTACAAAAGACCTTTCCACCTCCCTCTCTCTTCTTCGCTGACTCCACTTTATCTCTCCTTTGTTTCTCCTGCCTAAAACACAAAGGCCTCGTTTTTCTTTTCCCTCCCAATAAACACTTATACACATGCGTTATATTCTTCACCAAAAAAATCAATTGAGATATAAAAATACTCCCTTTATATTTCTTCACTTTTGGTGAAATTTCTGTGTTTTGGGTTCTGCTATATCAAAGCTTTAACATCTAAAGCTTCTGGTTTTCGAGAATTTCAATTGGGAAAATTGCTCCATTGGTTTGTTTAGGTAATTTCTGATCTCCCCTTTTCGTGTTTTGTGTTTGTTATTTCAGTATTTTTCTTACTCTAGAACTTTAAAACCCTAGTTTATGAATTGTTGTTTTGTTTGTTTTCATTGGCATTATACAGGAAAAGGGTTTTTATATTTGGAGGAATTAGAATACTTTGTTTTAGCAGTGGAGATTGATTTGGGTTTTGTTTTTGGAATTCTGGGTGTTGCTTGAAATGATTGAATGTTGTTGAATTTGCTGAGGAATATATTTTTTTTTTGCTGAATTGTGAGAGTGAATGATTGGGGTATGGAGATAGGAAATGCCCCAAATTGATTAAAATTGAAGGGTTGTATGTTTGTTGCTGATCCAGGTGTTTGGTTAGGGTTAGGAAAGGAGGGTTGTGAAAGTTAGGGTTGGTGAGGGAGAATATGGATGGTGAAGATAAAAAGATTGGCCTCAAAAAGAGGTCCAAAGGAGTTGAGATTAATGTAGATTCTGATGATGATGAGCCAATTGGGGCATTGTTCAAGTTGAAAAGCAAGAGAAACCCGAAGAAGGTTAAGTTGGGATCGGATGGTGAAAAGGGTAAGGAGTTAGGGGTTAAGGGTAAGATTGTAGATGGAGATTTAGGGGGGATGGAGGATACCTTAGCAAGCTTTAGGAAGAAGTTGAAGGGTCCTAAGAAAGATAGTGGTCCTGGGAGTTTAGTGAAGATGGACTTGGTGTCAAAACTGGCCGAACTTGCGGATGAATGTCTTAATGCTTCACAGAAGGATGAGGGTCTCGTAACTAAGCTGGTTCAAGGTGCTGAGGATGAAGCTTCTGATGTGATTTCAGATTTAAGTATAAGTCAAAAGTCAGAGAAGAAGCAAAATGAAAAAAGTAAGAAGTCCAAGGCTGCATTAGCTGAAAAGAGTCCTAGAGTGCTTGTTGAAGCAGATGACATTGAGATGCTGGAAGGTAATTCATCAGAAAACCAAGTCAAGGGACCGGAAGGTTTGATGAGCCCGGAAAACAAACATAAGAAGAAGGATATGAGATCCGAGTCTTCTTCAGCTGCAAAGAGTCACAGGGTTTCTGTAGATAGAGATGACAGTGAGGTACCAGACAACCATGCATTAGGTGATCATGTAGAGGAAAAGGAAGGTGCATCTACTAGCCCTTTACATGACAATTTGACAGATTCTCTTTCCTCCTTTATAAGAAAGACGCAGTCTGGTGTACGCAAGAAGTTGCGTGCTGCTTCTGTTTCAAACTCTAGGAAGGGAGGGCATCTGCAGGAGAAAGATCAGTGTCCAAGCTCAGGTCGTGTTTCCATAAATTTTCAATCTACAGTTGCAAAGAACTCTCTTTCAGATGCAGACTGTAGAAGTAATAGTCATA